TGTAGAGGGCCTTCTCCAGGCCGTCTACTGTCTCCCGGTACTCCAGGTATGAGCTGTAGTGTGTGCACTCGAACTTGGTGCTCCCCCGCACATATTCCAGGAAGTCAGGGGCTCCCGGGACGATGACATTGTCAGCTAGAAGAACTGTCCCCTTGCGCAACAGGCCACATTCCTGCAGGGGACAGACAGGGAGGGTCATGAATGCTTGGCAAACCCACTGCAGTCTAGGGGTAGCTGTCCCCCCGTGGAGTCTCTTCCTGCTACCATCCATCCTCCCCAGTATCCAACCTGGCCCTAGAGGGGCGTGTGGGCACCACAGGTTTGTAGGATGAGAAGAGATGGGGGGACCAGAGGGCCAGTTTTCCTTAAACACTCTATGCCAAAAATATGGGTCGTCACCAACAACCTGACCTTGAGGATCTGTTCTGGACTTTCCACCTGGGCCAGGGAAGGAAGACACTAGGTGCCTGGGCTCTGAGTAGGAGGAGGGAGCTGTTTCTGGGCCCTCAAAGCAATGGCTCTTGAATCTGTGATTGTGAGAGACCTCCCCTGTAGGGTACTTGTCTATCCACTCCGGCAAGTATGTCTGCTGACAGAGTGACAGCATATAAATAACAAAGTACCTGACAAGGAGTGGACCTTGGGGGGGGGGGGTGCAGAGGGGCCGGAAGCAGCAAACGGGACACCTGGATGTCTTATTTGAAGGTTGCCCAGGAAGCTTAGGGTTTGTTTTTTACATAATCATGACACAAAAGTTAAAGCAATCCTGTCTGATGTGGCCCATATCTACAACCTCAGCATTCAGGAGGCTGAGGCAAGAGGATTGAAAGTTCCAGGGTAGCCTGGGCTACATAAGACATTTGTCTTCAAACACATACACACAAAGCAACCCAAAACTGGGAAGTAAATAAATCCAGTAAATAGCCAGGGCTGAAGTGTACCTCAGTGGGACCTTGGCCTAAGGTTCTGTTCCCAGCACCACACACATAAAACCAAAACATCCCCACCATCCTAATGCAGGGGAGTCTGTGCCCTTGCAGAACAGAGCTGTACTCCTAACCACAGTCCAGGGCTCCAGCTGCTCCCAGAGATTGGGGTGGTAATCTTCGAACATGTGGGCTGTGAGAGCTGAGGGACCCTCAGGCAGTCAGTAAATTCAGGGATAGTCCCATGCGCTACAGTGTGAATGAGCTTCCCTCTGACCCATAGTGAAAGCAGAAGACAATGTCAAGTCAGCACTGGATGGAAAGACCTTGGTGAAGAAGTGCTGTGGAGGAAGGCATCTACCCAGTCCAGAAAGGGGCCCTGCAGTTCAGGAGGGGAAGAAAGGGATGAGCAGGGAGTTCCCGGCTCAGCCAGGGACCTGGAAACATTGAGAGTCCCATGGTGACTGTCAATAAGACTAATGACGTCAAGACATAAAACTTCCTGATTTCATCGCTACAGGAAGATGGGCACTTTTGGAGGGGCTGGCAACCTGCTGCCCTTCAGGAAACAAGCCCTATCCTGAGGCAAAGGCAGCACCTGTCCTGTCTGTATTTGGGTACCATGAGCCTCCTGTAAGACATCTCAGGTGAATGTGCACCCGTGTGTGAGTAACTGTGATTCTAGGCTAAGGAGACAGGGGAGTGCAGAATTCTGTAGGTAAGATGCTGTGGACAGGGTCTCACTATGTATCCTAGGCTGGCCTCAAACACGATCCTCCTCCAAGTGCTAAGTTGAAACGCTCGCACTAAGCCTCGTGGTGAGGTTAGTTTATGATCACCATTCTTAAAGGTTTGTCCTCTGGGTTCAGTTCTCTACAAACATACATCAAAGAAGAAAATCCAGTGCAGCCATTCCCAATACCCCTGTCTTCAGGAGCTGACTGCCAGGCTGAGCTACAGTGCTGGGATCCGGTAGTTTCTGAGTTACTGAACAGCAGTGGTTGCTGTTTTCCTAAAAGCAGGCCCCGAGATTGTCACACACACAGAGCTGCAGAGACCCACTCCCTGCACTGAGCCTGACTGCTCTGCTGTCTGTACTCGTGTACAGTGTCTGCCAGGGGTGGGCCTGTCCAAGCCAGCTGCCCATGGTTGGCCTGCCCTGCTGGTCTCCGTTCCATCCCCTACCGCCGGCCCTCTTGCTAGAAACATTCTCTGGTACAACTTCCTGGCCCTGCTATATGCCTGACTCCCACCACAGTGCTCAGCACCTCTACAACAGTTTGAAGGACCTCTGAGGTACCCTCCCTGTGCACCATCCATGCCTCCACAAGGTCAGCCAAAATCCTTCTGGATGCCAGGACCCACCCTCCCCATCACCTGCCCAAATCTCATTCATGCCTGATCTTTCCTCTGTGCCCTTACATTCCCCAGAACTATCTGACCCACACCCAAGCCACAATGGCCTGTCCTGCCCATGGGCTCCTTGGCCGACCCCTCACATTCCAGACCTCACTGTACATGACAGGGTGTACAACTCTTGAGACAACTGTGGCTGGGCCAGAGCACAGGGACAGCTCCATGCTGGCTGTGGAAGACGGTGAGGAAGCCCAGTGAAGGCCAAGGAGCCCCTCTCGCTTTTCTGGCCACAGAACAAGGTCATGTCTCCTCAAGCTCGTCACTTGGGAGTGGGGTGCCTCTTCACTGGAGGCCTCTGCCAGGTGCAGCTGGCAGAGCAGCAGTTTTGAGGCCTGCGGGGGCTAGGGAGATGCACTTGTATAGCTGAAGCTTCAGGAAGACCCAGGCCATGCTTGCCGTTCCTGTGGCTAGCCCAGTGGACCCCCAGCCAGACCCATGCTGAGGCCAGTTCTGCTCCCTTGGGGACTCAGAGCTATGTCCTTCATCCCAGGTGTTCTAGTCTCTGGTGCTCATCTCACTCCCTAGCAGACCCCTGCTTGCAGGGCAGGGGATCCCTGGCCTGGCACTCCTACCCAGAAGCCCTCCCTTCATTTCCACCTGCCACAGGGCCTCTGCAGCCCACCAGATTCCCAGCCTGACCCCAGGCCCTGCTATGCCCTTGGGCCACCCACAGTAGGGGTCTTCAGTGGCCGAGGCGCAGGTACCCCAGCAGTGACAGCACAGAAGCCATCCTGCCAGGCAGGGCCCGCTCAGCTCACCTCCAGGAGACGTGTGTCTGGCAGGTAGCGGTCTTTCCAGTGATCAAGAAAGACCATGTCTAAGGTGTCCACATCATACTTGGTCTTCAGCTGCGGGATGAGGTCCTGGGATGCCCCAATGAGGATGGTGACCTGGAACAGTATTCTGTCAGTGCTGTGCCCACAGGGATATGCAGGAGCCTGTCTGGACCCCACATGGATATATACATCATTTCCTTCGGGGCTCCAGAGAGGAGTCTACTGTGTAGTCTCTCCTGGGGCAGTCTGGAGTTGCTGGCTCTGTAGGATAGGTCAGGGAGACTGTGCCCTAACCTGCTGGGGTTTCTTCCTGTGACATGGCAGGTGCTCAGTGACGGAACCAATCCCCTCTCCCTCCCCACTGCCCGCTCAGCCCTCCCAGCCACACTGGTTGCAGGGCCATACTTGGTCCTGCAAGCCTGCCAGGCTCAGCATCTGCCTGGTGATGGCAGCATAGTCGGGGTTCATCTCCATGGTGAGGAGCCGGCCTCCAGGTGGCAGCAGGCGGGCTATCCG